GTCCACAGGAGTGTATTTGATATCATTAGTAAATCCTTGCATCCTCTGGGACTGCAAATATACTCCAGTGAGAGCCTGGACTACACTATTGTAGATTTCCGTCGTCCGCTGATGAACTGTTCCTTGAGAAGTCGCCTTCCTCTCCTTCTGACGACGATAAAGCCACAACCATATACTCAACGCTGCAACGATAATGCCGATGACCACGATAATGAATATAGCTCCCCAAGTAGGAATTTGGTTAGTTGCTCCCCGTGGGCACTGGGAGTACCAGGGGCAGGACTCAGGCTTCGCAAAGCCTTGTTTACAGAAATATCCCTCCGGACAAGGAATAGGACCGGACGTACCACCCACAGGACAGTAATATCCAGGTGGACAGACTGAGCTCGTGCCGTTAGCGCAGTAGTATCCTTTTTTCACCACATCCGCTCCGCAACTTAGGCAAACTCCGGCTTGATTGGACTGCTCGAAAATGGAGCCTTCGGCACAATACTCAGGATTGCTGCATTTGCCACCAATAGGGCAGTACCCGCCGTTAGACATACTTGAATTGTAGGTATATTCGGACAATGATATAGATAAGGAAAACGCGGTGGAGAAAATCTCAACTGATAAAGAGAAGATCCAAGACGAGTCCTGCATGTATCCCTTAAAGAGCCTTTCCTGTTCACATCAAATGCCGCAATCGCGAGTGACTTCTGCAGATCCCCGTTGAAGAATCGTCAGACACGAGGCTCGACTCCGACGCGAAAACTCAATCGATCACTATGGCGCGCGCTACATACTTTGTCAAATAGCAGTGCTTGGTAACACTGCGATGGACGTCTCTGACTCAACACCCAATAACTAGTAGAGATATAGCAATAATAGGGTAGTTGCAGGATATACCGAAGGTAGTCTTCAACCAGGCAGCAGTAGGTGAAGACAGACGCAAGGACGACAGTATAGAGCCAGAGAGAGAGCGACGAGCCCAATAGCAAGGGCAAGAGAGAACAGAATAAACTGAACTGAGTGAGATAACAGCAATCACTCGTGCCACAATGGAGATGCTTAGACCAATCATAGAGCAATAGAAATGGCGAGACCAC